CAAAATGCACAATATACTTGTTGCAAGCTTTCGAAACTCCATGGGCCTGATGAAGAAGCCCATGGAGCTTTGAAAGCTTGCAACAAGTTTATTTAGATGAATATGTATATTTATAACTGGGGTGGGAATAATGGGTTCCTCTAGAATCTAGATGTTGTAGGACTACAGGTCCCAGCAATATTAGCCAGCATAGACAATGGTGAGATATGCTGGGAATTTCATACAATTCCCAATGCTAGCCTGTATTATTTCTATAGAAAAAAAAAAAAGAATTTATAGCAGTTTATGGCACAGCACATAAAAATGGTGAGTGGCTTGGTTTGGGCATAAAGCAACTGCAGAGGTAGAAATTGTGAATGTGTGACAGCATTGTTTATTACCCCCCACAAGTTTCAAGTAGTCAGTTGGAAAGTTGAGACTGAGAACCAAGAGACCTGCAGTTGACAGAAGAAGAAGGACCCTAAACAAGAACTATCTCAATGGCATAACTAGGGTTATTGTCATCTGATACAGTAACTCATGATGTCATTCCCCACATTGATCTTCTTTCATACCACACCATACAGAATCCTCACTAGTGGTTTTTGTATGAATGTTACTCATAAAACCTAATTCTCATATATCACTAAATATAATGGCAGTAGTTGTGGCATAAACAACAAGCAAAATCAAAATTATGCTTTTAAATTACAGTATCATAAGCACAGCCTAAATGCATTTACATTGACATAGGGGCTCTGCAGATGGCGCAAAGTGCCGTCTTGAAGCCAGGGAAGGAAAGGGGCAGCCGGCTGCTGGCTTCCCCAACCCCTTCCTGAGGACGTCATCAGAGTGCCCACCATTGCACATGGTGAGTGCTCTGATGATATCCTTCCTGTGCAGTGTCCAGACACGCTGGGCCGGAAGAGACACACGGCATCTCTTCGGGCGCCCCTTCTGCCCTCTCTGGAAGGAGCACTATATTAGCACTGGCAGAAGGGTGGATTGGGGCCACTGTGTTTGTTAACAGCAGCCTTAATCCTTTGCTTCTTGGGGCGGCCCATGGCCGCCCATCTGCAAAGCCCCATAGTTTCATATGATTAAAATGAAATAAGGCAGACATTTGGGGACAGTTGTGTCATTCCCTTTCCTTAGGGTGTCATCCAGTGCAGCCCATACACCCCCCAAGTGATGCCCCTGAACTACCTCATTGTAGAGATACATGCTGCTCAGGGGGTTTTGGGCTGCCTAGTTCAAACAATATTCACAATACTTCTCATAAGCATCTCTGAACTTTAACATGACCCAAGACATTTTGCTACCTGAGGCCAAGGACAAGATGACTCTTTTTTCCCATTCCATGTATAGCAGAACAGGCTAGACTAATATTTGAATGGCTGGCATGCTCCACCACACCTGTGACAATAGGCTAATTTGGGGAGCTCAGAACAGGCTGAGTGGCATTGACTCCATCGTCCAGTATGGGGAAACTTATGCAAAGTTTCCATGAAGCAACTCAGGTCTGCCGCCATTGCTATCCAGCATTTTGCAGCAGTCTTACTCTGCACACACAATTGGGGAAAAATATACTTATATAAATTTACTTGTAAAAATAGGTCAGCACGTGGAAACATTGCTCTTTTGGAAAACACCTGCCAGAATACCCCAGCCAACATTTAAATTGTTGTGGTTAGCTGCAGTCGAGTTGAACCTGTGTATGAGACATCTCCAAGCCCCCCTGTTATCCACTGGTGTGCTTACTGGAGGTCTCACAGATTCAGGCCCATGACTTCCTGATTGAATCTTTCCATCTAGCAGGCAGT